AAATTCTCCAGAGCTTTCAGAAGCCAATGGCATGCTTGTGATAGGAGTGTGAAAGGACAGCATCTAGTTAGAAAACAGATGACATCAGGCCTTTAATGGGTATCAATTGCAAAATCTTTGACATGTCAACAGGCATTTATTGATTTTCTACTATTTGCCAACTAGGAAATTTCCAACCGGAGCTCATAATGGGTATCACATGTTAAAACTCTTCCAATACTAATTAAGATGAATAAATAAACCATTCTAAACATACTTAATAATAATATCTACAATTCCGTGTGCTGGACATGTGCTGTATGCTCTGACTCTAATCCTCACCATCATCCATTTCTCTCACCTCTACTTCACATACCCAGTGTCATGAAGTAGAAAATAACCAGATTCCAGTCATACAGGCTTGAATTTGTCTTAACATTGATGGATACTAGGTAAATAATACCTCCAAAGACAAATTATTTACCATGTATGAGCCTTAGTTAGCTCACTTATACTGCTGATCATTCAAAATTGCAGTGCTAATAAGAAATAAAATCACTTGTAGAGAACCCTGCTCATCACTGCTTTTACAGATTAAAAAAAAAAAAAATTCCAGATTAGAATGTTTAGATAACTTGCTAATCTTCGATTAGGGTGCTATTTTGTCATATAACTGGAAGGGCTGGATTTCAAATTTAAACCTAAATCTTTTCTTCCCTGTTGGCTGCATTCTCTTCATAATCATCACTAATTATTGAACACCTATTGTGTCCAAGCCCGATGCTAGGGTTTTGTATCTCATGAGTCAACCCAGAAATTAAGCAAATATTTAAAAGGCAGGATTTATAGTCAGGAGAGGCTCATTTGGTAAACTGCTTGCCATGCAAACATTCAGACCTGGAGTTCAATTCTTTAGAAGCCACATTAAAAGGCCAGATTGGGTGGCACACATTTGTAATGACAACTGGTTAGATGCAGACCAGTAGATCCTGGGGTTCACTGACCAGCTGGCTTAGACTAGAATGCAAGGTCCAGGCAAGTGACAAAGGCTGTCTCAAAAACAAAGGACAGTCCCTGAATAATGATACCCAAGGTTGCTCTTTGTCCTCATATCAACACTTTTTCCTTCCCAGGATCAACGGAACTACAGATCTAGAGGTAATTCTTCCTGTTGCAGAGTTAAGGCGTTCCCTTGAAGGAAGCCGTGTCTGGAATGAAGTCCACAAGACCAGAGAAAATCATCCTAGTTGTTCTATAGAGGCAGGGTTGGTAAATGACTACCGGTACCCTCTTCATTTTAGGACACATTTAAATGCCCACGTGGACTAGAGGAGAGAACAAAATTTGAACACACAAGTATCTATGGCACTGTCCTACCAGCAACAGGGCAATAGAGTCCTCTATTCCTTTTCATGCACACGAGAGTCAGGCTGGGTATTGCTCACACATTTTAGATCTTGCGTGTCAATCAAGTCCCAAGTTATAATAAAGCTTCCTTTGTCAACCCTGTCATTAGTGGGTTCAGGATTCTCGAGGAGTGTATACAAACCTCCCACACCCACACAGTTATTTAAAGTGATTGCTGAAGTCACTTAAAAGCGAATATCTAATCTGTTGGCCAGATTCCACCCTTCTCCGACACCATACAACATAGTTTTTTTTTCTGCTTATTATCTCATAATTGTTGACTTATAGGTGTCTGTAAAATCTTAGTAACATTGTCAGACCTGTTGGTATTTCTATTCATGCATTTAGACATTTAACAAATAATTACCAAATGACTGCCTAGACTAAACACAAACTCAGAATTAGCAGAATTGTGCTTCTTATTCTCTCTCTCTCTCTCTCTCTCTCTCTCTGTGTGTGTGCATGTGCGTATTTGATGTGGGTTTGTGTGTATGCATGTCACAATACATGGGTCAAGGTCAGATGACAACCTCAGCTGTCAGTCATCATATTCCAATTTATCTGAGATGTATCTTTGTTGTTTGCTGTGATTTGGCAAGCATGCTGGCCTTTGAGCTTCCGGGGGCCTGTCCTCTCTCTGCCCTCCATCTTCTCATAGGACACAGAGACCACATATGTAACCTACCGGGGACCCAACTTTTTTGCATGTGGGTTCTCAGGATTGAACTCAGGTCCTTATGCTTTCACAGTAAGCAATTAACATACTATCCAGTACTTTTTATTTTCTATCATAGCCTAGTACAAGGAGCAAGGTCCTGGTTCTGGACTCAGAGATCTGGACTCAATTCTGGCTCCTTTGTTTATTCAATGGAAGATGTGTTATTTTACTGAGTCTCAGTTTGAACACCTGTAAAGTGGTATTAGTTTATTTGACATCTCTGAAAGGGTCTTACAAAGATCAAATTAGGTTATATAATTAAAAGTATAAAGGCATATAACCTTAAACAGAAGTTTTCATTCTTGAAATCGGGTCTAACCTGTCATTCGAGTTTACTACTAATTCTACCCCCATTTCACATTTCAAAGTATTTCATAATCAGAAGCTGTTGTTGCTATAATCACTGTGTCTAAGCAGGACATCATTACTCACTGTTTTGTGAGTCCAGAGGCAAAAGAAGTCTTCGAAGTTAGCATATTTCCTCCAAATAATCTCGTGTGTTTTATTTATCAAATAAAGAAGTCCCTGGCCTTCTTGGGCCACACAATATAGTCATAACCATTTGGCTATTGATTGGAGTTAGTAAAGATGGACAAGGTAATGTGGGAGCACAGAGCAGGAAGAATAGCGCAAAAAAAAAAAAAAAAAAAAGCATGTCTCACTGACAAAGTCCAGCCTGAACAGAGCTCTCCAAAGGAGAAACAGAAGTTTACTAAGCAAGGGAATGGAGCAGGAGGCATGCTTCTGCAGAGAGAAGTGGGTATGGAACCCCAAAGCTGATGGACGGCCCAGCTGATGTTAGCAGTCATGGGACAGCAGTTGGGATTGGAGAGGACCAAAGCCAGAGGCATGAGATAATCTGTTGAAATCTGCAGAGGACTTGCTCTGTTGGGTCAATGCTAGGTCTTCTGAGCGTATGAAGAATGTGGGTGTCCACACTGCAATCCTATTTCCATTATTGTAGCATAACCTTAAAGTCACTGTACAAAGCCATAGGTGCACCAACCCTCCCTGGAACGTCCAGAAGCTGAGCAGAGTGTGGAAGAGAAATAGGCTCCCGTCCCACCTAAGCCATTGTATTTTCTAATTTTTAACAATGTAGCCAAGGGAAGCTGTGTGGTAAGAAGTTACAGAAACTCAGAGCAGGCTCTTTGGCAAAGTGACATAGAGGCCACAGAAGCTGTGACAATGCAACGAAATGGTTTGAAAAAGAGAGAAAACAAGTAGAAATTCAGATACTTTGTCAAAACCCTGAAGACTTCAACAAAAGAACCGGTCATCAAACCTCAAGCTGACAAAGCAAATTGAGAAACTGCCGGAAAGGTAAGCAAACCCTGGGAGAGCATGTTGCTCTAGAGTAGAGGGGTTCGCTGACAGGGAGCACAGACCATACCTGTTACAGTCAGTGTCTGCTAGCTCATGCGTGGCCACGGGGAACAGTTTCAGTGCATGGCTTCTCAGAAAGGGTGGCTGAAAAAACACAAGAAGTAGTTGGTCCATATCTAGCCTGTCTTTTAAGCTGGAGAGATTCTGGGGGTGGAGAGATCTTGCAGAAGACCTAGGTTTTGTTCTCAGCATCTACATCATTTAGTTTACAACCAGGAGATCTGATGTCTCCTTCTGGCCTCGTGGGCACAGCTGTATGTGAACAAACCCAACTCAGACAGACACACATACAGGTAATTTAAAACAACAATGAATCTTGTTTTTAAAAGAGATGGAGAGATTCGATAAAGGAGTTCATGAATATAGCATGGATTCTAGATCATACAAAATTTAGGAAGAATGAAGTGATTTGGATCTAAGTGGAGGAACTGGCCACAGAGAAGAGTATGACAATGGTGGCCTCTGCCTTTACAGAGAAGACAGAGTTCATCTGACTAAACCTCTGGCCAGCAGAAATGAGGATGTCTCATTGACAAAGCCCAGCCTTGGGCAGAGCTCTCTGGAGGAGAAATAGAAGTTTTCCAGGCAATGAAAAGAGGCAGGACTGAGGCTGGCATAGCTCTTTAATAATTGTGTAAAAGAGTAACTCTCTTTTACAGATTTGAAAACCAAATTGGCAGGAGTTAGGTAATGAAACACTCCACATTTTATTATGCTGCTAATATGTTTATCCAAACTACATACAGACCTCACCCAAGGCTCTCTGCAGAGAGCTCTCTGAAGGCAAGCTTTCACTGATGCTCTAGAATTAACCCTACTCCATAGACAGTTCTAGGATTGCATGAAGCTGAAACAGGACGCTTCACTCAACACCTTTGTTTGGCTGCTTGATAGGTTGGTTTTGCTTGCATTTGTTTGTTTGTTTGTTTTTGTTTGTTTGTATAACCAATACCTTCACTACGAGGAGGTACACAGTATATTTAAAATTCAAATATGTACATTCAAGTTTTGCAGATAAATACACCTAGACTTTTGAACAACTGCACAAACTGTGTGCACACACATTTTGTAGTGGAGACACACAGTTGGCCCCCAGTGCCCATGAGATTTATATCCATGGATCTGACTAACTGCGAGCTGACAGGGTTGGAGGTGGGCTGTCTTCCCTATCACCGTTCCTAAGCCGCACAATATGACAACTGTTCACAGAACATTTTCATTGGAACAGGTATAAACAATGAAGGGATAACGGGCGGGAAGATGTGTGTTAATATCTAAGAATGCCAGTTTGCACACGGGATTGGAACGTCCATAGATTTGGGGTCTTTGGGGGTTCTAGAACCTAATTTCCATAGAAGAGGCACTGCAATTGGAAAAGATACTGGGAGCAGGGGAGGTTCCTGAAATTTCTGAACCCGGAGGCAGAAGATAGGTAGAAAGGACTAGAGACTGACTCACCAGTTAGAAGAAGCTTGCCCTGAGCTTCGGGCCATTTTGATAGAACACTTACCTTCTCAGTCTATTGTGTTTGACCAAGTGTGGGTCCGCCCCATTTATCTTGCTCTTGCAGGGTTTTAGTTAATGTTCTATTGCTGTGAAGAGACACAATGACTATAGTGACTCTTACAGCAGAAAACATTTAATTGGGGACTTGCTTACAGTTCAGAGGTTTAGTCAGTTATCATCATGGCAGAAAACATGACAGCACATAGGCAGATATGGTACTGGGAAAGAGCTGAGAGTTCTACATCCAGATCTGCAGGCATCAGGGAGAGAAAGAGCCACTGGGCCTGGCTTAGACTTTTAAAACCTCAAAGCCCCAATCCTTGTAACACCCATTCTCCAACAAGGCCACACCTCCTAATCTTCTCAAGTAGTGCCATTGCCTAGTGATGAAGCATTCAAATATGTAAACCTAGGGGGGCCATTCTTATTCATACCCAACACATGAGCTGAGCTCCTGGAGGCCAAAGTACTTGTGGGAAGAAAGAAAGCTTAGCTATTTACATTCTCACCCACGTTTTCTTTGGATTCCTCTGTATAGCCTTGCCTGTCCTAGACTCGCTTTCCATACCAGGGTGGCTTCAAACTCTCAGAGGAGTATGGAGGCTGGTTTGAAGTCCTGGCTCATGGCAGCAGTCACTGGTATCAGAGATCCTGATTCTGGTACCAATGTTTCTCTTACACCCTGTATCAGTTGCTGCTGATACTTTCTGCTGCTAAGACACCATGACCAAAAGCAACTTGGGGAAGAAAGAATTTATTTGACTTACACTTCCACATGACAGTCCGGCAAAGAAGGAAGTTGGGGCAGGAACCCAAGGCAGGAGTATGGAGGCTGGAACTGAAGCAGATACCTGTGGAGGAATGCTGCTTACTGGTTTGCTTCCCCGGCTTCCTCAGTTTGTTGTCTTAAACACCCCAGGACCTGCCCAGTGACCACCTGGGTCCTCCCACATCAAACATCAGTCAAGAAAATGTTCTCCACACTTGGCTACAGGCATCCCAATGGAGGCCTTTCCTCCGTTGAAGTTCCTCTTCCCTGATAAATCTAGCTTCTGTCAAGCCGACACACATACACAAAACAAACTAGGACACACATCTTCATCTTCATATGTCGTCCCTTTTCAAATAGCTTGTGCTGGCCATTTCCGCCTTTTCTGCGTGGCATAGAGAGGGAAATAAGTCCTATATCACTATCATAAACTCTACATTTTTCTAAGGTATACATTTATTTAAGGCAGGATCTGTCCCTGGAGGGGTAATATAACTTCTTCATTTTCCATTTTATCACTTTGTGAAGATGTCACTCAGAAATCTTAAAAACCTCAATGTGCCAACATCCTGGAGGGCTTCACTTACCACTGCTCCCTCCTACCTAAAAGAAACCGCCTCCAGGGTCTAAACTGCCCGGCTCCTTTTTCCCCTTTGAGAATTCATCTTCTCAAAGTAGGGGAGAGAAGCCAGGGAGGTTCACCCCATCCAAAGCCACACCTCGTCACAAGGAAGCCAGCAGTCCTTGGAAGTGGTCTCTGTCCTTAGAAGAGTCATATCGGCGTGTGTGTGTGTGTGTGTGTGTGTGTGTCTGTGTGTCTGTGTGTGTATACACTCATAAACTGGTACACACCTACACACACACACACACACACACACACACACACACACACACACAGCAGCCCACATGCCCAAAATGAGAAAAGCCCATGCAAGAGAGGAAGAAATGCCCTTTATATCTACAGGCTGCCTCCAGCAAAAGCATGCCTAAATGCAATAGGTTAAATATATTGCTGCCATTACACTCTGCAAGAAACACATTCCATAAAAACGAAGGTGCTGTAAATTATACAAATATGATGCTAACAAGCCAGGAAACGCTCTGCTAATGAGGTCAGCTACAGAACTCCTGCAGGGCTGCAAATCATCTGCCAATCCTGCACATGAAGTACCAGAACGGCATTGGGTCAGCATTTTCTGAGCGGGCTTGCAACCTGCTGTTTGGTGTATGGTTACACAGGTAGATAAAAGGCTTCCAGGGTTGGCCCTACCCGTGCCGCCCTCCCAAGTTTATTTGTGTGTCAAATATCCAAGTCACCAGATGAGCACGTTCTGCATTAATGTACCTGACTATTATGCCCATTGTTCTCCCGCTCAGAGTGGAGAATTAGTCACTCAGATGTGTAAATATTGGTTACAGTTTTGAAGCGTGCGAGCTTTGTGTTTCTATCAGGCCTATATTCCTGGAGGAATTATGCATGCTGTTGGCACTGGGTTCTGTACACACTGTATTTGCTAAAGCTCTAAAAATCAAATAAACATGTTCCCAGCTCCTGAATTATTAGTCCATTCACCATCTTTCCCCGTTAGGGGGAGGGGGGCGATAAACACGACGGAATGTGGCATTTAGGAACGGCAACAAGATTTCTGCTTGGCATTTACAAGTCGGAGAGCAATCGGAACACCCTTCCTAAGCCTTTGTCACAGCACTTTCAGCACGGAGCTGAGACACCTTTGTTATCACTCTTAACCCTTGGCCAGTAAGATGTTCATCTGGGCTCAAGGCTTGGGCTCCACTTCTGGACAACTGTCAGACATGGAGAGGAGTATTTGTTCCACGGGCGGGACAGATTCAGCAGTAAACAATCTCTCTCTGAATGCCAGTGCTCGCCAACTTCAGAGGACAGCCACGCAACCTACGGCAACCTGGATTCCCTTTGCTCTTGATTAGGAGGAGGCGAGCAGCGTGGAGTGCCTGGGACTGTGTATACCATGCCCGGGGGCCACCCAACATGCCAAAGATACCAGACCGACAGCCATTTTGAAAGCAAAGAAAGCTGGTAGTTTTATAAGCTAATCCTATAGTTTCTTGGCACATTTTTTTTTTTTTCTCTACCAGGATCCAGAGCAATTAAGGTTTAATACCACTGAGGGTGAACGAATAGAAATGCAAGAAGTTTAATGTGAGGTGCTCAAAAGAATCCAAGTGAGCACTGAGTGGGTAACTATGACTGCAAAGATGCCTGCACCCTCCTCAGCACTAAGCATAGTGCTGACGGTAGGGCTCCATTTTAGAGCCAACATGAAGGGTAGGAGGTAGTGTGTACCCTATCTGCCTGGCTTAGTCCTTGTCGAAGACACCTGTTTATACTCCATCTCAAAGGCTTTATTGAGTTCGTGTTCTTCCCAGTCTCAGGGCCCTGCCGTGGATCTATTTGTATACACATATCACAGGTTTTGGAAATAACTTCAGCACATAAATGCCATTATTTCCAGCAGAGTTGGTGTAAACCATATTTACTACCCAAACACTCAGCTAAAAATCGAGCTGCAAGGAAACGGTAGCAGCAGCAGCAAGAACAACAACAACAAAGAAATCAGTGGCAGCTACAAACCGTGGCCACAAATCAAAACAGTCCATAAAGTGGCCTTCAGGTGGGAAACACGGAGCAGAGGCAGAGGAAGAGAGCAGCCTGTGGTTTCGTCCCACACATGTGGGAGAACACCAACTCACTAAGTCCCTGCTCCAATTTAAATACAGCCTGTGTACGGGAGCCCGAGGGATACACGGGGTATGAAGGAGGGGCCAACAGAGGGGTGCAGTGAGCCAGCCTAGTGTGGCAGGAAATCCAGGGTCTATCAACACGCTTCTAGGCAGTTTCTGGCACACAATAGCTAGTTAGGCTCCTGAATCAGCCAAGTGAGAGGAAACACCTCAGTGCCCAATGCCCCAGGTCAAGTGTTCTCCCTTGCCTTAGAAATGTGAACTGTTTCTCTGACTACTCAGACCTAGAAAGATCAGGCCCCACCACCACAGCCATACTCACACCAATGCCATTGTTTCGACAGTCACTAAGCACCTACTGTTTGCTAAACACTAAAAGCTGTGTGTTTGGCAATGGGAAGGAAGACACCTTTAAGACATTATGGCCTAGTAAAAGAAGTTAAAAAATGCCACAGCCAGCCTGGTGGCACACACCTGGAATTCTGGCAGGCAAGCTGAAGAAAGTGAATCACTGTAAATTCAAGGCAATCTCAGCCTCACGGTACGCACTAGGCCATTCTGGGCTCCATTTTAAAGCCTGTCACAGTACAAAATGAGAAGGAAGAGGAGGAAGGGAAGGAGGGGTGAAGGCCAAAGCAGAATGGTTACATAAAAATAATTAACAATAGCCATTAAAAAGCAGTGCATGACTGACGGCCAAGAAAAGGATGCTGGGAGCTATAATCCCAAATTAAGGGGGAAAATAGCTATTATGGGATAGTACAATCCACAAAGTCTTGAAGGAGAAAGTGAACCTTGAAAGTAGGCAGGACTGAGCTGGGCAAAATACAGAGTGGGCAAGGTTCAATGCAGAAGAATGGTATGGCAGAAAGGCTAAGGGTAGGAACAATCAGTATTTTTTGTTGTTCTTGTTGTTGACCCTTTGGGCTGACATGGAGAGGAACAGAGGCAGATGAACGTGAACAGTTGCTTTGTTGAACTGAATATCAACCAAACTAATATTGTTGACGATCTGATCATGTAGTAGGAAATCACCTATGATAAACACAAGTTCAGTGACGGGATATTCGTGTCAGTGTATTCTACACACATTTGCATAGAAGGAGGGGGAACTGCAGCCGGAGTGAGAGCAGACACCTGAACGTCGTTCATGGGTATGAAGTAGAGTCATTTTTGCTGAGGTGGTTTATTTCCCCCCAGAAAGCACCAAACCAGTGTAACACACTTAGCAGCCGGCCCTGCTTCCTCTCAGGCAAAATGGGTGCAAGGAAGAAGGGACAGGGAGAGGGAGACAGAAATGCGTCAGTCCCTCCAGTTTGGCAGAGGGTGCTTGAACTCATTGGGAAGATCAGACATTTGTATCAGGGACAAACAGAGGATCGCCATAACTCAGAGCAGACAATGTATGAAATATGCATTTTTCTTTTTTCGTTTTATGCCATTTTATGAGACTTCTGTGTAGATGCAGCAAGCAAGGCTCTCGGCTCGAGCCCTGCAGGGTTGGCAGATTTATTACCAAATTAAAAAAAAAATGAAAACAGTTCAGCTGTCTGGCCAGGTAGAAGGGATTATCTCCACTTGAAAGAAACCAGACAGAAAGGATTCTCACTAGCTGCACGTGGGGGCCCTGCTCTGCCCAAAGCTGTGTACCCACTGTGTACCCGCTGCAGTAGCTCAAACCAACTGCTGATTTTCCACCGGATCCAAGTCCTCTAGCCTGGCTCTGGGTCCATCAAGTGACCAACCTCATGTAGACTTTCACCAGACATGTTGGGTAAGGAAAGGTGGAAAAGGGGGGCAGGCTTAGGAAGCACTGCCCATCGAGACACCTAAGAGTCTCCAGCTGGAAAAGCCACTGGGGCCCCAGACTCCCCAAGGACCTTGGCCAGGGCTATTCTATACCCAGGGCTTCCCGCCACCATGGGCCTCATATCCTGCTTTCACAAGCAAAAACACTGAGAACCAAAATATGCCATCACAACCTGCAAATGTTCTTCTGCTCACTCATCTCCATTAACCAATTTCCACTCAACAGAGTTTCTTAGAATCTTCCTATACAGCCAGCATTGTGCTGAACACAGGAAGCAAATGAAGACATGGCTCCTCCCTGGGGACTCTGGCAGACCAACATGTATTTGCTTTTAGAGCGTTCAGAGTGCTATAACAATATACCTTAGGCTGGACAATTTATAAGCAACATAAATTGCGTAGTCATAGTTCTGGAGATGGGAAGTCCCATCAAGGTGTCAGCAGACTCCAGTGTGACACCGATGGTGACTTCTCTGAGTCCTTGAGTGCCAGTGTGCACACACAAGAGAATGCCCAAGAGGTTCTTTCATGAGATGCCACTCACCTTAC